ACCCCATATGCACATCCATATGCAAAATTTAATGTTTCCATACACAGTTATGGATGAGGATTTTGCAGGGGTCCACACTGCCGTCTGCCAGTAGCGGGGATGTCCACATCGTAAGTGTGTCATGCCTCCTGCTGGGTGCTCGGCTAGGATCAGGAATATGTATGAGTTTGTGTGTTCTTATGGGGCACTGCATTTAGCCTGTAATAATATTTTACACAGAATTTTTCTGACTGTAGTAGTCTGAGATGGTTACCAAAAACATAGTGTTAATAATAATAATTTAATAACATTAAAGAGAAGGTGAAATGTTAATTTGCACTCCTGCAGTTTGAGCTTTTATAGCCGTTTTGTTAAGCAGTGAAAGCTGAATACCTCCAGTTGTGTCCCCCTGGTCCTCTCTGTCTGGTCAGATACAGGTCATGTGGTTGCCAGGCCGATGGCAGCAAAGTAGTCAGTCAGTTTTCTTGCTATATATCATGTTATATATCTGTGTACATTTCTTTAACTGTTGATGCTTTTTAACACTGTCACTTGTGCAGTGATACTGACAGATCGTTACATAACTGTTATCCCTTTTTCCTCACTTCTTTGCTATAATTTCAGTGGTGTAATGATAGTGAGTCATCAGTTAACACATCTATACCAACAGGTAAATATAAATATATACACTAACCCTCCTTAATTGTTAGCTTTAAAAGTTTGTTCGTTTCAATGAGGAAATAATTAGCAGAATTGTTTGGAAAACAAAAAAAACAAAAAAACAAGAAAAACATTCAGTGATGTTCAGTGCAGCAAGCATCGCTTGACAGCCATTAGAAAGTGAATACATCGCCAATCTGTAGCAGCTCTACTATTGGTAAGACAAAACATAGCACAGCAAAACTGTGACCAATCTAAACATACATGCAGTTATATCAGAGAAGAATAATGTGCATTGATAGGCTTCTAGTTGAATTGGATAAGCAGGACATGTGGTGTTTAAAATGTGAGATGTTTAACACTCAACATGTGCATCCATAATTTTGTAGACCTGCCACTCAGTTTATTTCCAGTGTGCTGAATTATCCTTCCTTACAAGGTCGCTTTTAGCCTTAAAACATAGATCCTATTTTGGTACAGGAATGGGCCACTTTATTACATAAAAGTTCAATACAATTCACATTTCTTTCCACTTACTATTAAGTGTGGCTTTTAATTTGAATCATCCCTGGAACTTTCCGTTTGCAACAGTGCATCAGTAAATCAATCAAATCAGATGCAGTTTCAAAAGTAGAGCTGAACTGAGCAGGTTTTTCAGTCCATGTGGCCTAATCTGTTTGAGTAAACAGCTAAAACAATCTTTTCTAATAAAAGATTAAATTTCCCTCACCTGAAGTATATACCTATTTGAATTCAGTTTTTGCAGTTTTAAAAACCTGTATCATTTTGTGAAATGTGTTTGATTTTTTTCCCCTTTACTTTAGTTTGTAATTCACTTGTCCCCTTCAGAACCATATGTTCCTCATTTAGTTTAGGGTACATGAATAATCGCAAATTATATTTGAACATTACTTACTCTGGCTTGTGATCTTCTGTATACATGACAGAGACTCATTTCTTCCATTGGCTTGGTTGAACTTCGAAACTATGATTTAAAAAGTATCCACAGTTTTGTTAGAAATAACAGAAAGGGAAAAGCAGCTTAAAAAAATGATTTAATAATTAAAAATAAATGTACATACACCAGTTGTAGAACAAAATGCCATTTTAACTGTGTTGCTATGCATTACAGTACATTTAAAGGCCATTCTCCCCTAAGTATGTTGCTAAGCCTTATTAGTTTTATGTACTTCATACACATTTCAATTGATTTTCAGTTGCTTGTTTTGTGAAAATAGAAGTGATGAAATATTACTGAGAAAATGAAACAGTCAGTTCTTGCTACATTGCTCACATTATTGCTAACATTGTGTTTTTATTAATATAGATAAACATGTGATGCATTCTCCAGCTATCTTTATCTGGGCACACACACACATTCGCATGTATAGATTTATGATGTTGACTGAACTGTGTGGAAGTTCAGCAATTAAAGTGTCTTTGAAGTTAATTTCAAAAAGTCAGTTTCATAAGTAAATAGGCTAAAACAACAAGCGAGAAAAGTCATTGGGAGTGTTCGTGTCCAGCCTGTATGTGCCTTGCATTTTTAACAGGATAAGAGGTACTCCTTTGAGAAGCATTTAGCACAAACAAGCTGTCCTATAGCTTGACGTATAGGAGCCGATAATCTCTCTGTCCCCATTATTTGTATCAATTAGGGCTGCCTCACATCCTGTCAGTAATACAAACCATGACGGTCTAAGGTAGCAGAATAAATGTTTAATGTTATTTTTAATGGTCTGTGTTTTGCTTCTGGAAGCTAAAATTCTGAGCCGTGGGTGGAACACTTACACAAATCAGTGAACCTCACTGATTCCCCGTATTCAATTTTAATAAGGCCTAAAGTGGCATTCGATGCTTTCCCATGGGATGTGAGTAAAACTCAGCCCTGGCTGGTGTGAGACCATCAGTAGAGCAACAAGCCCTGTAGTTTCCGTGTCACTTTCCACTGGCTCGTCCACACTGCTGTTTGTAGTAATGATGTCTCTCTCAGGGGTTCAGCAGCCAAAGTCCCAGGCGGATACACACTACAGGAAATTTTGTTTTTCTATCGGGGAAGTAAGATAGCAGAAAACAGATAACGCAACGATTTGCTTTGTGGAAAAGGTTGGCACCTACAGGGAGCCCTTTTCCTTTGTCCCCTGTAGAAGAAACATACACTGAGCAGCTACACCTACTGAGCTGTAAACTGGAAAAAGAGTGTTGGACTGTCACTTTGAGTAAAATACTGAGTGAGCTCAAATACAGTACAAATTGAATTTGCCGGAGTTTCCATATAAGGGCGTATTGTCAGTGAAATTCTCTCCAGGCCTTTACTTTTTCAAAAGGGCAATATTATTAATAGCCTGTATATGTAATTACAAAGACATTCTCCTAGTACAGTGCTGTGAAGTGAGCTATTGATGCACTTTCATTGTTTAAAGATAAGTAACCGATGAAATTGTGTCTATTCTCTCGGTTGAGGTCTCTAAAAACTTTCTCTTTTAGAATGACAATCTTGATATGATTTATCCCTCAGTGCCTGAAAAAGCACCAATACCACAAATCATGCAATCACACCATTATCACTTTGAAATGTATGTCAATTGGAGCAGCAGTGAAGTTTTCTATTGTCATAATGCAGTGGGAAAAAAGGTACCTGAGTAAATGTATTATGTATTATGATATTATACATTATATAGAGGCATTTCTTTTAAAACTAAATGTCTGCAAGGTACATTATAAGTGATTAATATATTCAACATTAAAAAATAGAGATTTTAAATTGATAATTGCTATTAAATACAGGTTTTACACTTTAATGAATCAATGATCCCTATCACTGGTGTATTATCAGAATATTTCACAGATATTAGGCATTTTGAAAGGTCAACTCCAGTTCGTGAGGAAAAGCTGGTACGTCCGAGGGGAATTGTGAATATTCCGGGAGATTTAATACGTTAAATGCTTGGGAAAATCTTAAACCATTTCAGAGCATTTATAGATCTGGCTCCATTCACATTACTGCTCTATTATTATAATGTGATTTTAAATTATTTCTGGCTGACAACTTTATCTTCGTGTTCGGAATGAACCCCCCCCCCCATTTATTGCGATGATGGGATGTGTCTGAGAAGATCTCTCTGATTTGTGGCAGCGACTGTAAAGCCATTTTAATATGAGTGTAAACCCTCCCCTTGGTTAAAGAGAAACCCTACAACTTGTAAGGGAATGTTCACTTCCAACATACATCCGCAAACCTGACAGTGCTGCTAGCTAGATGCATTGGAAAATAAACCGATAGGCGATTCCACCTCATAACAGTGGTTTTACATGCAGCCACAGTCAGTAAAGCAGACAGTAGGTCTCATCTTCCAACCATAATCATATGTTGTCATATGAGGCCGCTTTAGGTATTAAATGGAACATTATAGAATAATTGCATTTGTTAACTGCTACTCATGCTTTACGAGAGGGTTATTAAAATAGTATGTAATATGATAAACATTTAATTCGGTATCAATTAGAAGTTGATGATGAAGTACAGATTCCAGTGCTTTTGTTGTGTGCTTTAATGTTTAAGTTTATGATCTATGCTAATGAGTCTGCAGTCGGATTGAGTAGGCTGATGCGTGTCTACATTGCGTTCCAGCCTCTGCCACCGCAGTCTTGTCCCAGCTTAGTGCCGTGGTTTTTGGCTGGTATAAAAACAAGCTTTAAGATCTTTAAAATGATTTACAATCTGACTGAATCTGCTGCTCTTTCAGAAGTTGATCACGGAAGGGATTCTGCTTATTTAATAAACAAGCTTGTTTAATAACCCTATAACCTTTTAAACAAGCAAGTGGTAATTTTTAACATAGTTCTTCATGATATTACTAATCATATAGTTATTATGAACCAGACCAATAAAGAGCATTGTACAGTAAAAGCCTTTGACAAAAAGCTGTTTTTCTGTTCTGCAGTCAATCACATATCCAATTATTTTACCGAATGTGAAGGATTGATAAAACTGTAATAGGTCATGCACCAAATATTATTTGTAATGGATATTTCACACAATAATGATTAAAATTGTTTTTTTTTCTTCTGATATCTTTAAAGTCATCTTTAGGAGTTTACTACAGCTTCATTACTAGAGTAAAATATTCTGTCCCCTGAAATTTTACGTAGTTACGCAAAATCAGTCATGCATTGTTTTTTTCAGTTTTGTTTTTGTTGTCGTCTTTGTTTTTTTTCATGGGAGGAGGATTGAAATTTTTATTAGTATCAGTATGGCATTTATTTATGCTTCTATGAAACAAGCATTTCAAAATATAACATTAAGTTGTACCACCAGTCATCAAATATATGCTGTAATAGACTTTATTTTTGTTTTTCAGGTGGAAGCTGAATGGTACATTGATCAATCCTAAACCAGGGTCCCACTACAGCCTCTTGGGAGGGAACTTGCGAATCAGTGATCTGAACAAGGACGAGGACACCGGCACGTACCAGTGTCTCGCGTCAAATTCCTTAGGGACCATCGTCAGTCGAGAGGCCACTTTAACCTTTGCGTGTAAGTCTGGTCATTCCGCCGGTGGCAAGGTGATGAAAGATTTCAATGGCCTGTCCCTTGGTGTGATGGCAATCCTGTTTAATAACACCAGTAACCTGACTGGGATCCCAGCAATCTATCCCTTCCAGTGTGTAGAACTCAGCTCATCTTGTCAGACTGAAATTGAGTCAGCATTAGGAAGCTCTGATGAATATGGCTTTATTATTTGAACGTCAAGAAGCATATGATAACTAACACTGCTTAGGGTTTATTACGTAGTTTTATTAGACAGATATACTCAGCACCCAGGTAGGTGCGATGAGCTTCGTGCTCACGTTTTGATTGGACAGCCAGCTAAGTGACAGCGTTGACGTGCCGTGATGGATGGGCCTTTCAGGCAGCATTCTGGATCATTCTTCTAGGCCAAGGCCTTTCCATCTTTCACAGGCCGCCTGCTTATGCATTCAAGATTTGTGACGTCCTTTGTCATGGAAAGATCCAGCTCAATGGGGGAACAGCACTGCTCCTGTATGACAGGTTCATCAGTCGCTATGGATGACTTTACCAACTGCTGGTTTTTATCTGGTGAAGTCGCTGTGTGATGTCTGTCTTCTTTATAACTTTGAGTACAATTAACTGCATTTTTGAAAGGGGCAGACTTACCTGGATAATTTGCAGTAGCAGATATTGGGTACTTTATTAGGTACACCTAGCTAGTACCGGCTAGGACCCACTTTATTAGGTACACCTAGCTAGTACCGGCTAGGACCCACTTTATTAGGTACACCTAGCTAGTACCGGGTAGGACCCA